TGTATGTTTGTAACCGCACCCCCCAACACAGGAGAAAATCCTACAGAGGGGCAATGCTTTATTTAAAAAGAAAAAGAAGGGCCGATAGTCAGTTGGGAACAAATAATATTTAGCAATTTACTTTTAAATATAAATTTTCGTTACCATATAATAACAAGGTTCGCTAATAAACCGCAGTGTGTTGATTATAATTATTAATATTTAGTATTTTAGCTAGGTAGGTACCTATTGGACACCTGGATTTTTCCCAATTAACTTTACTTGCCTAATGTGGGCATCAAAATTCATGACAGGAATAATTTAATGTTTCCTTATTCAAACCGCATTGTTAATTTTTTTTGTATATATTCATAATGACCATTCCTTACTCCGTCCGATTTCCTACTAAGAACTTTTAAAAAAAAAATTAAGCTTAAATATTTCTTATCAAAACTTGGGAATCGAACCTGAGATCCGTTTGCTCGGTAATCAACGTTAATCGTTAATCGTCGGTAATCGTTGTTAAAATCTAAACTAAATGCGTGTAATGAAAATAATGTAATTTAGAAATAAACCGTAAAAGTTTATAAAAATACCACCATGAAAAATATCAGAATTTCAGTTAAAATGATTATTTTAGACTAAACATATACCTACGTATATAAGTAAAATAATGAAACATTGAAACAATGAATTTATTTTTGCGAATAGGCCATAAAACGGCACTTTTACACGTCAATTTATATGTAAAAAACTAGATTAAGCCGGCATTTCCTATCTGACTACTCTGAGAAGAAATGCAAAAAATAGAACAAATAAAGAAAAACAATTTTTAGGATAGTATCCTGGTGTAGGCTGGCTGTGTGTTTCCACATTGGATACTGGCTACCATTATGGGTAGGTAAATATATAATAAAAACAATTGAAAAAGTTTTAAGTAGGAAAAATGTCAGCTCGTGATTATTGTGTGTATTATTCTTCCTGTTATAAAAAGGTTAAATATATAATAGACTATTGTCTATTCGTTTAGGTTACTAACTAAATCTAAACAATTTTGCCATGTCTTTTTATCTAAAATTCAATATTTTTTTTTTACTTATTTACCTAAATCAATGTTATCTAATAAACCACATTTAAATAATCTTTGTATGTATTTTCTACGGCGTTTTTAATATAATAAGAGACAGGTACCAAGATTATGAAGAAGAAGAGTTTACCTTTAGTTAACCACCTAAATCGATAGACCATAGCAACACGCAATATTTTTTTATTGCCGGCTTTCAACCAGCTCATCTATACTAATACTAATATATAGGTATTTTAAAGAGGTACATCACTACATACTGAAGTTGCACTATCCCTGGTAAATAATGGCTAGGTATAAATTACGCGGGTGAAACCGCGGTGCAAAACTAGTAACCCATAAAAAACCAGTAAAAAGGGCTAATAGAATGATGGCGAGGTATACAAATTTAATAAAGACTGACGATTTTACTTATGTAGTATCAATATTTTTATTTTTTGATTTCATTACTACTTCCTCGGCGTTTTTAAATTAAGAATTGGAAGATCGCTTACGTCACCGCTTCGCCAAAAGTATAAAACAAAGTCGCTTTCTCTGTCCCTATATTCCTATGTTAGCTTAAGTCTTGAAAAACTACATAGCGGATTTTGATGCGGTTTTTTACAGATAGAGTGATTAGAGAGGAAGTTTTATATGTACAACTAGCGGTCGCCTTTTCTGGACTTCCACGAATTATTCAAGCCATAACCAAATCGGTAAAGGCATTGTTGAGTTAAGTATAACATTACAACGAAAAGTGGCATTGATTTTTATATATTTATGTAGATAACATCCATTGAATAGTGGATAAATTTAGTATCGGCCCGTGCGAGTCGGGGCGGGTCGCTAGTTTGGTTTAAAATATACTTGTGTTACTGTAATAGTGACATCACACGATATTTCGAAACAATATATTTTCTTATCTAAAGAAAAGAGGTATACAAGTTCTAATGTAATTAATAAAATTAAAAGATGAAATAAAAAATCACCATACTTATGTTTTACTATTGAAAAAATACCATGCGTCATGGTCCTGTCGCATTGTCCCTATTCATTTGCCAATTCCTAATCTGTTTACAAAAGCCAGCATGTCAACCTACCCCTTCCTAACGACATTCTTTATTACATTTTTAACTTTATTATTTTAATTGACGTAAAGTCCAAATTCCAATAACAAAAGGTTGTTGTAGATACTCTTTTCTTTAAAATTACTTAAGTAGGTATACCTACTTATACGTATCATTACGTATGGATTTACATGTTATGTTGCATAATTTTGTAAAGAGGTTAATTTTAAATGCGAGAGTTACGACGAAGTTTGGATGTTTATTACTCAAATACGCCAAAACGGCTGGATGGGTCTGTATTAAATTTGGCACAGGCGTAGGTACACTGAGGAATAGGACGTAGGCTACTTTTTATCAACATACCGCGCGGACGAGGCCGCGTGCGGAAGCTAGTCTATAGTAATATTACAAAGAGGTAAAATTTGTAAGTTTGTATGTAGGGGGTAATCTTTGGAACCACTGTTCGGATTTCCAAAATTATTTCACTGATAGATAGCTACACTATTCCTGAGTGCTATAGGCTATAAAACATCACGCTACGATTAAATGAAGCCGAGCAGCGGGTGAAACCGCGCGAGAGTATCTAGTATTTTATAAACGTACCTCTTTGATGACTATCTATATCTATCTAGAATTCATTTTATGATTGAATACCCTTATTATTACTTAATAACTTTGGTATTTTTCTATGTTATGTTGATGAATTCAATCACGAGAACCACTTTAAATGTTTACTTTCCCAGAGTGATTGAGTGGTATTAATTGCCATCGACACTTTGTTTACCAACATTATTATTATAAATAAACAATTTATGGATCATTATTGGATTTAGTGGAATGTTGTCAGTAGGTATTTTGGAGAGAGAAAGCTATCAAATGACTTCTCCCGTCCTTTGTGGGGTGAGAGGATAAGGAGAGAAGAGGACATAACCCCTTTTTTTATGTAAAGGTCGCCAAACTAGCAGACGGATAACCTGATGGTAAGCAATCAGCGCCGCCCATGGACACCCGCAACGAAGGAGTGCTTGCCGATCTTTTAGGGATTAGGGATTTGGAGATTGAGGGATTGACGAGGATTGGGGGAGGGGAAGAATTGGGCCTCCGGAACCTCACTCACGCGGCGAAACACAACGCTGTGGTTGTTTCAAGCCGGTTTTCTGTGAGGCCGTGGTATCACTCCCGTCGAGCCGACCGGAGCCGTGCCGAAGCATGGCTCTCCCACACTTGTGGTTACATCCTCTTTGTGACTAAAAACCACACCGTCCCTTCTGCTGCTCCAGGCTGAGGCTTCGGTACGTTATTGTGCTCGAACCCTAATTGTTATATGCTATATTGCTAGTCTAATTGTTTGAAAATAGGCTACGGGTTGAATATCAGAGTCAGTGAAAATTACGTAGGAACTACTAACTACGGTTTTTTGTTTCCAAAAATTTCAGTGTGTGTAGTACCTAAACAGAATAATTGCAAACAGTTATCCTGTGTAATGTGTCTGTTGTTCTGAAAATAAACCACAGCTATGCAGGGCTTTTCTTTAACTAACAAGAGTACCGTTACATTTATATTTCACCTTTTTAAAATATTATTTGGTACCTAAATAAAAGGATTAAAATCTTAGTAAACGTAGAAATAAAAGCAAAGTAATGAGATAAAACTTTCAATTTTATTTTGTATCCAGCACACAAAATTATTCGTCACTATAATTTTATTTCGAAACATCTTGTTTCATAGAATTTATATTTTTTCTTAAATACCAAGCCATTTGTACAGATTTACAATGATAATTCAATTTCACGAATGAAAATGATTATTAAATAATATAAGAATGCACATGCAATCTCTTATGTACCTTATTATAATTAAATAATTATTTTGTTTGAAAACCTTGAATAATGTTTGCGTTTCAAATTCAAGTCACAGGTCAAAGACTTCTAATTATAAAATGGCGGTTTAAAAAAATGCACCGTAGACAATATAGACGTCATGCCATAATGCTGACGTTTATTTTTTTAATAAAACAAAAGTATTGTTTAGCAAGCAAGGTCGGATTGCAACATACTTTTATTAAAATTTTACATTACAAAATTCAAATCAATAGATAGGTATGTATGTGACAAAACACCAAATTACTCCCATACAACCTACATACAGAATAAGGATAAATAAATAAAATAAAATCTTTCTTCATACGTTATAAATACACTCTGATCTAATTATAATTTATACATTTAATTGCTATTGTATTTTTATGTTAAACACTAACATATCGCTATGACTAATAGGTAACTTCACCGTTTTGTTCAATAATGTACAGAAAGGAACTTATCTAACTGTTTCCCTACATGTAACACACAAATAAAGGACGTGCTATCATTACATCGGAAATAATAACAAAATATGTAGGTAAGTAATTAGTATCGATGTAATACGGAATAACACGTTAATCGATGTTTCATACGCTTCTTTTAGTAATTATAAAGTTGTTACATATAGAAAAACAATAAATAGGACACACTAAATAAAGTTTAAGATGGTTCTTCAATTCAGTGAGCTCCATTGACTGACAAGTTACAACTTAATACTAAGCTAAAGTAACACGCGAATTATGAACTGTTTTGTACTTAATCGAGAGATACAGTCTTGTTTATACATTGGTCACTCGTAACTACATCTGTTCTAGATCTACTCAAACGCTGGCTAACATACAACTCTATGTACACTACTAGTATACTATGACTAAACTTCTTACATAAGCATAAATACAACATAATCTACCTATTTACATTTCAAGAAACTTCAAGTTATACATGATTTAAACAACTTTTCTAAAGGCAAAAGTAAATCGCGATAAGGTTTAAGTAAACTTTATCTGATAAACTTTTGCACTATTACATACATAGTTATGTACAATACAAAGTCTTTGGCCATAATAAAATACTCTACAATAATTTAGTTGACTGTAACACAGGATAGCCTCTAGCTAAGCGTCGTCTAGGCATGTACAGAACAGCTAGGCATGCTGCGCTCTGCCGAGGTGGATGAAGAACGCCACGCGGTCCGCGCTGCGCTCCCCGCACTTGTTACACATGAACGGATCATTGTAACCATGGAAACCCATGTGGATCGTGTGCATCGTCAGATCCCCGAAGGTGATGTCGCAATACTGACAAGAGAATGACTGGTTGGTTCCAGAAGCTTCTACTGAGCCTTCTGACTCACTGTCAGAGATTTCCATGTCCTTTGTTTTCTCATCCTCGTGCTGCAGCCGTAGTGCTGCTGGCTGCAGCTTGAAGGCGCGCCCTTTCCTCCTGTTTTTAAGGGCTGTGGTTGGTGTAACTGGCGTCACGCGTTCTGTGCTAGGAGGAGGCGTACCTGCTTCGCTCGTCTTTGTGCTCGTGAGGTCAAGAGCGTCGTTGCCCGTCGACGCAGGAGCTTCCCGCGGAGTTGTTGGCGTTTGTGGTAAGCTCGCAGGTGACTTAGACGGCGGCGGCGAGGTTGTACCAGTCTCGAGCGGCCTTTCCGCGTACGCCAGGCGTTGGTGCAGTAATGAAGGCGGAGGTGAAATTGCTTGCGTTTTTTCAGTCGCCATTTCAGGTAGTTTTGGTGACGTTCTGTGTTCATAGTTATTGTTCGGCGGGAATAAGAATGAGTGAGGTAGCAGCGGCGGGAGGTACGGCAAGTTGACGGGGAAGTGATTGCCAAAGATGGGGTGCGTCGGCGGGGGTCCTTGCGGCTGCGTGTTATTGTTCATGGACGACGGATGATCGAACATTTTAGATAAAGGCTTCTGTTTGGGTCCGCGCCGCGTTCCGTACACATCAATGATTGGCAATGGGTTAGGGGTGCCGTCGGGGTTGAGTACCATGGCAGGGTTGTGTTGGTACTTACGCAAGTGCAGTTTGAGGGAGTGGCAGTACTTCGTGGCGTAGTTGCAGTCTGCACAGCGGTACTGGTACACGTTGGAGTGAGATTTCAAGTGTGAGTTGAGCATAGACTTGTTGACACAGGAGTAGGAGCACTGAGTACACTGGAATGGCTTCGATCCTAAATGGTTCCTCATGTGGTACTCGAGGTGATGTTTGTATTCCGTTACAAACGGACACTTTCTGCAGCATAACATCTTCTCTGGCTTGATGTGCTCTTTGCTGTGTTCCCAGAAACTAAGTTTCGTTACGGCAACAAATTCGCATTGTTTACATTTGAACGTTTTAACTTTGCCGTGTGAGTTGACGGCGGGGACGCGGAGTCCGGGTTCATCATCAAAGTCTTCGTCGCCGGAGCCGTCGCGGCCGTCGTCACCGTCGTTTTTCTGGCCAACACCATCATACCCAGAGTCTTGGTACCTTTCATATGATCTTCTGTCGTGGTCTCTGTCCGGAGAGGAAGGTGTTCTCGGTGATTTCGGTGGCGTGGCGTCAGCACGCGGTAAAGGCGTGGACACGTGCGCGGGCGGCGCTAAATTTCTCGGCGAATAAGAGGTTTCATAACCAGGTGATGGCTCCCGACCATCATTGTTACGGGGCTCAAAGCCTGGCGGTGTGAGCAAACTGTACGGCAAACTGTTACGGAACGAGTCCAGGTGCATTCCTAGATTCGCTTTGGCTTTCAGCGTCATGTTATCGTAGAACGGGGAGGGCTCCCCAGAACTGCCGACGCTGCGCGGTGAGTGCCCGTTTGAATCCTTGCTGGAGGAGGAGGGCGATGCGCTATGGAAGCCATCTGAGTAGAAGCCGCTGGTCTGGTCCTTCATAAAGCTTCCGTCTTCCATTGGTTCGGATTTCTATAAAGAATAAAGTTGTTATAGACCACAAATAAGGGGAAAAATGGTTCTTTACGATATGTATGTATATGTAATTAATGTAGTGAGGGTTGGTGGGTAATACGTACCACAGTGGGCTGCTGTAGCAGTGATCCCCAAGCTTGGGGATGCGGCGAGTGATGCGCGGGCGGCATGCCAGCGGGGGATGCGCAACTAATCATACCTGGGGAAGAACAAACTCATTAGTCTATTTACTTTGCAAACGTAAATCAATTGCATAAACATGTACCTAAGTAAAAAATGCGTAGCAAACGACCACGTACATTGGCATACTTAGACTATGGATTTGCCATTCATTTCGCAAAGACAAGCATTTGTTGTGGCAATGAATCCAGTACTTAAATGGACAAATTTCGTGTCAACACATAATTTCCGTTATTACGTATATCTGCATAATAGGTATTTGTTTGTAAACATTCAGTGATTGAGTTACTGAGGAAATTTAGGGCAATGAAACATTACGAACTAAATGATTTTTTGTCAACTATATCTACTGGTATATTAGACTTGGTATATGCATTCAAGTGTCTAATCCCTGCTTATAATAAAAACTAGAGTTGTTTACAGAGGTCACTTAGAGGATACTGGTAATGGAGGTGTCTGCTGCATTTTTGGCGCAATACAATAAGTATGACGAATGTCCAACATAAATAATTAACGTTTAAAACAAATTGTTGCTAGAATTTTCCTTAATTTAAACAAAACTACGTTATCCGTCTCGAAGACCGAAGGATAATTTGCAAATAATTTTGTATTTTATCATTTTGAGTTATTTAATGTTACCCATGGTGAATAAATGATGATATAGGTACTTACGTAATATATTTTAACATCTATTAGTAAAAAGAGAACTAAATCTCCAAATGTTGTTTTAATGTATCAAATCATTGATATTTGCGTTTTAAAGTCATAGATTAAGGGGAAGGACTGTTTATTTAAAAAGGGATACTTATAATGAATTTGCGTGTGTTCCTATATTATATAGGTAGGTAATATTATCTTCGTATAGTTATTATTTTGATATGTAGCGTAATATTTTCTATGTAAGGATTAAACCCGTAGTTTTGTAAAACATTTCCTTAGTTTATAAATTGTGTTTATATAAAATACTAGTTTCCAGCCCGCGACTACAAAAGCGAACTTTAATAAATTATACACCTTAACCTTCCTCTTAAATCATTCTATCTATTGAATAAACGGCATCAAAATCTGTCCCGTAATTTTAAAGATCTAGGCAAACATAGGGATAGACAGCGGGAAGCGATTGTGTTTTATACTATGTGCAGTTTTATTTATAAACTTTCCCTTTTCATAAAAAGCTTCAGTGTTTGTATAACGTAGCTATACGACATAGGTTCCTATTTTTCTTCGAAGGAGTATACATAATTACATATGTACAAGGATACATATTATTATAGAATTTCTAATTTAACAGATTACATATTAAATATTATAAGTCTAATAATGGTTAAGAAACCCTTTAGATACCTATGTAGATAATGCAGTTAATTAAATCATTGATTTAGTATAAATCTTGACGAGTAGATTTACATTAAAATTATGTTGAAATCAATCGTAATTATAATACCCAATAGTTATGTAATAATGTTAAAAAATAACATAAATACAGCCGATTCATAAAACATGGACACCCCCTAAACAAAACAATAATAAACACTTATGAAGCTTATTTCTACAGTAGTAATATATCGGCCAATTGATTAAAACGAATAAATAAATAACCTCTAAATATTAAAACATTATGAACAATAACATTGAAACACTCACCTTATTTATTATAATGAAGTAACTTAAACACAGCACAACATGAATAACATTCGTAAAAAATCCTTAAAGTTCACTTTAGTCCTTGGTTGCACAGATAAATTATTTTTCATACACACGATAAAACGTTGAGCGTTTTTTGAGACAACCCTTCGATGCGACGGTCGGGACACGTCTGCCCGTCGCCACTTCTCACAATGAACTGAAAAAAATCTGTCAATTTTTATGCTCCAAACATCGATAAATGTATTCTATGTTTGAAAGCGACGTCTTTGGCAGAATGGGACGGCAATACTGATAGATACGTCTGTTTCTTTCTCGTCCCCACAGCCTATTTTTACTTGAGCCAATACGACGCGAGCTTCAGTGGGTGGGATCAAGTTATTAAGTTATTGTTTATGCGATATTAATAATAAAAAATAAGCAACCCCGCGTATTTTGCCAGTTGTTATTGTAATAAGGCCTGGCCGTATTATATCGGGTATTATTGACCGATAAAACTGCGTGTAGGGAAATTAGATTGTTTTCGTATTGTATCACTTAATGTTTACGGTTATAATGTGATTTTTATGTATGTTTACCCCATTTATTAAGTAAGACAATAAAATATTTGAGGGCGAACGTTAAAATAAATGGACTGTTTGTTTGTCATTCATGAGTCGTTTGTATGTAGGTAGTAAATAGGCTTACTTTAGAGTTTATGTCCTTTATCTCGTTTAAAACCACACGAATGTAACCCCTATGTATAGATGGCGCCCCCTTATTTACGGCGCTTTTTATAGTATAAAAAGGTGGTCATAAAAAACCGTAGCGCGGCTACGCGGTGAAGGGGCGTAGAGCTTTTTACGTCAACCGCCAGCCAATAGCAGACAGCAGATTAAAAAAGGAACGCCGTTTACTTTTTCTTCTGTATAAAGCAACCAATTAAAATTAGTTTTCTATTTATGTTTTGGCGGGCTGCACACGGCGGTTGACATTTATTTTATTGATAAGACGTTTAAATTTATAATTAAGTGTGTATTTCATTGTTCATGATAGTTTTTTTTTTATTCAGCTGTGTAAATGAGTAGGTTATTATTTTGATGGAACAACGTATTGTAATGGATAGGTCAGGTAATATTAATATGTAACATTTGGATGTGTTTGTTTGAATTCAACTGCATTATATTTATACAGAGGTTTAGCTATACGAGTGTAGATCTTATTCTAAATACTAATATCAAACTTTGTATGTAGTTTTTTGGGTAAAACATAGACTTATATAACTTTATGTTTCAAAAATTTTTGAGAAGGCTATGTGCAATCTTGTATACTCCTTCTGTGAAAAATATAAAATATTAGACGATTGCCAAAACGGTTTCCGGAAAAATAGATCCACAACCTTAGCTGTTTACAAATACGTACAAGAAGCCCTAAATATGATAAATAATAGAGATTATGCAATAGGAATATTACTCGACATGACTAAAGCCTACGATAAGGTGCAGTTCAAAATACTTTTAAATAAATTACACGGGATCGGGATACGGGGAAACGCCTTAAAATGGTTCGAGTCTTACTTAAACGATAGAGAACAAATTATAGAAATAGAATACTTTAATAAAAACAATAACGAAATACAACAAATCAGATCAAACCTAAAAGCAGTGAATGCCTCTATCCCACAAGGGAGCGTCATAGGGTGCCTTCTATTTCTCATCTACATTAACGACCTTCCCAAAACAATTAACGGACCATGTGTGTTGTTTGCAGATGATGTCTCCATACTCACCTCATGCCAAAAAATTGACAATATAAACGAAAAACTAAATTCTCTTCTTACTTCAACATTCAACTGGATGGAAAACCATAACTTAGAAATAAACTTTTCAAAAACTAAATTAATTACCTTCCACCCCCATCAAAAAGCCCCGATAAAATTAAACTACTCCTACAATAACACAAAACTAGAACAAGTTAACGAATTCACACTCCTTGGTTTAGTAATAGATACACATGTAACTTGGAAAGCACATATACAAAAAATTCGGTCAAAACTTTCAAAATTCTCATACGCCTTACGCGAAATTAAAAAAACCACCAACCTACATACAGCACTTATCACATACTATGCCTACGCCCAAGCATGGCTTAGTTATGGCATCATATTATGGGGAAATAGTACCGATTCGCACACCATTTTTACCTTGCAAAAGAAACTCATCCGAATAATAACCAATATTGAACAAACAGACAGCTGCAAACCACATTTCCAAAAATACAAAATTCTCACACTTACCTGTTTATATATCCTAGAAGTATGCAAATTCGTCAGAAATCACCCTGAATTCTATACTACCCGACAAGATACTCAAAGTAAATATAGCCTACGACACAAGAATAGATTAAATCTACCTACATCCCACCTTAAAATACATTCTTCCGGTCCGCTAATAATGTCAATAAAAATATATAACAACTTACCTAAAACGATCAAAGATGAAACGAAAACATCTACGTTTATAAATAAATTAAAGAACTTTTTACACTCTAAATGTTATTATACAATAAAAGAATACATGGATGATAAGTCAATAAAAAAATAATGAACACTAATACAAACTAAAATATAAAAAAAAAAAATAAACGAATAAAAAATAATTAAAAAATAAGCCTTTACACACAACACACACACACACACACACACACACACACACACACACACACACACACACACACACACACCCAAATACACGCACGCACACATACATTAAGATAAGTATTAATAAGTTTAATAAGTAAGATAAGAATACAACATGTGTTTTAGTAATAAGCATATATATAACACAAAACTAGACAATATGTACTGTATAACAAACCTCTCCAAACTCTTTATGCTGTGCCCTAACGGGTCCATATTGTTTCTAATATATTGTGTCAACTTTATAAAATATCACCTGTATAACATATGGAATGCAAATAAAGAATTGAATTGAATTGAATTGAAAGAGGAAACGTATTTCTACTAAAATAATTGTAAAAAAGGCTGTCACAAAGCTGTTTATTAAAATAAAGATTAAAACATCGATTAACCAACACTCAATTAGTTACATAAACAGATATGCAAATAGTCCTTAGTTAGTTACTGTAGTCGAAGCGGCACGATAAAGGAATGCATTAAAAACTGCTTTTGGTTATTTTAATCGTTTTTATAACTATTTGTAATTACCGTCGGGTTTTTATTCCGCATAATAATTAATTTAGTCATTACATTGATGATAATAAGACGCCGTTGTCGGCGAAATGAAAGAAAAAAGTCGTTATTAAAAAATTAATAGTTGTCACCATTAGTCTATTTGGTAACTAATAA